ATGGTATTTAGTTTAAGCTGTGCCTCTAACTGATTGATACAGGCTGTGACAACACTTGTAGTTGGTCAAGCTTTGTTAGGCCTGGTCTTAGCCAAAAATAAAACTGGCCCACCAAAATGTGAGCAACCTGCTGGCTGAACTGGATAAATCGATGTACTAGGACTGTATATCTTAAATATCCAGGACAAGCCCTTGTTCTGCAAATAATTGTGTGTGTGAATAATTTTTCTCACCTGCTTGAAGTTTGTTACTGATACTGGCACTAATCCTGTACAGTGTATGGGAAGTATATAGAAGTACATCCTGATTGCATTAAATAGAATATTGGGCTCAGTCTGTGTCTGGACAGTAGAATTGCTGTGGATTTGATAATCCAGGCATTTTGTGGACTGGATTCTGGTCTCAGTTTTATGGGCACTATAGACACACATTCAGAGTCACACCAGAAGAGTTCAAGAGGAAATCTCTAAGCCAAGTATATTCTGAATATTTGGAGCATTTTGCTGAACTCATTTTTGGAAGCCACTCGATAGTTGCTCTTTATTCTGAAAAATTCAAAGTGAAGCAATATTCTACCCCACTTTGTCTTGGTCTAAGATCTAGATTGAAGGTTGGCTCACTGAATTTAATAAAGATATGTGTGTGATACTCATGTTATAGACAATGTGCAAAAAAGAGATGCCCAAATGGATCCTTAGATCCAAATCTTCCCCCCAAATTTGGAAAAAAATTGGACTTCAACTGATCATCACTTACTGAAATATCTTGAAAAAAAAAGTCAGGAAATACCAAGATGAGCTTGAGATCTGGAATAATACTAGTGCTTCAAACTTTTGATTTCGTGTTGAGCCTACACTGGGCTGGACATGCCTATTTGATAGAATAAGGATAGATGTATTAGGTCAAAGTTCATTGAGGCTTTTCTGCTTTTTACTGTTTTTCATTTTAGTACACATCTTTACCCCCAGACCTGAAAAAGGATTAACATGCCAGAATGGAGACAGATCACTCAGCATTTCTAATCACATGCCAGAAATCTCAAGATTTTCTACTCTTTGTAGACCATAAAAGGCTCAGATAACCTTCTAAAGTCCACTCTGATCTCTTTAGTCATTAAAAAATGTTTTTACTGAGAATCTAAGATAGATTCCAACTTCAGTGATCACATGCAATCAATCCAGTTTCATTCCACCACTTCAGAAGTTATTTATGCATTCCATCATTAAGACAGAGTAATAGTAGTCTTCATTCAAAACAAGATTGTAACATTCAAAACAAGGCTGTAACTACTGCAGAAAAAACCCCCAGAGTACTACAGAGAAATATTTCCATACACATGATTTCATTTTAGATTGTTAGAAGCATTTGCTTCTGTCTTTCATGTTCACTTTTCAGAAATGCTCCAGAGAAGCAGTACTGTCATCGTGAGTAGAAGAGTACACTCACCTGCCTGGCCTCCATGAGAAGCAGACAAATAGTGTCATCTAAACTACAAACTGGTAAGTTTAATTTTGCATTTTCCATTACCTTCACCACTGTGAAAGTGAACTTCAAATAAAGCAAATGATTGACTTGCTTTCAGTGAAATTCCTGGAAATTCCAGTCTTAGTAAGTAAGTATCTAGTACATGTTCTCCTGAAAGGTAAGGCAGGCTGGTAGAAGGAGTCAGTTAGTTGAACTGCCAAATTGCTTAGTGGCAATAGTACAACTACTTCATATACTATTTATCTGGCTGTGATAAAGTATTTTAGTCTTGGCCTTGCTGAAGAAGCTGATGCTTTAAAAAATTCCAGCCATTGTCTCTTTTCCCTGAGTTGTATATTTAAATTAGAGTTGATAGTATTTATCTACTTTATAAGGGATTTCAGGCCCTGGACACAGTCTGCCTTTTCAGTTTGTATAGGTTTGTACAGCACCTAACACATGGTCCCACAAGCTGCTGAAGTCCGTGAATGCCTTCACCAATTAGTCTGCAGGTAACATTTTGGGATGACTGCAGATAGATCAAATGGGACCTACTCTGAGAGGGAAGAGCTTCTGCAAACACACAAAATCCTTTCTTAGGATTTGTGTTTGAATGGCAGACAGTAGAAACTCACAAACCACTACAACGTGCTGTGCAGAAGCTTTCAACCATTTCTTTCTATGGCATAATTAGGTGCACCCACATAACTCAGCAGACACCACACTAACATCCACATTCGCAGCAATCTTGGATCCAAAGGGGAAAAAATCAACCACTTGATAAAGGTCTCTTTTTTTTTTTTTTTGTCATTTAGAGGTGACTCTTCATTTCAATCATCTGAGCTGAACATTTTAAGAAAAATGAGTAAAAAAAAACAAGGGGGGAGAAGGAGGGATGCAGTATTTTGAATCAAAGGGCCACTGAGGGCTGTGATGTCGTTTCTGTGCAGAAACAGTGGCATCTAGTGGGCAGTTCTTCAGATGAGGCAAGACAAAGTCAGCAGGCAATAAAGAACAAGTCAGTGATTAAAGCTAATGATATGTTTATCTCTTTCATAGATGAAAAATTTTTCCCAAGTCCATTGTAAACTTTTTCCAAAAAGCATTTGGAAATCAACTATTTTGCCAACTTTCCCCTCTTCGGTATGCAACTTTTAGAACATTGTTCTTCCTACTTTCATTATATTAAACCCTCTTGTGTCTTTTACATGCACTTTCTAATTACTTAATGTCATACAGATGATCATAAATCTTCACCCAATAGGAAAGTTAATGGTTGCATGTATGTATAAAAGTCTAGCATTTTTCCCCAAGATTTGAGACATGGACAAAAATAAACCTCAAGTGTGTCCTTGACCACACTTGATCTCATTCAGTTTTAGATGATTTCAAGCACAGCACGGCTTGAAGGAAAGATCTGTGTAAAGGAAGAGAATAAAAACACAGTAGAGCAGCCACACTGAAGGAATCTGAAAAAAGATTAATTACGTAATTTCTGTAGCTATAACTAAGTGTGTTTATGCAGTGTTAACTTTTTATGCTAATTATGTATGAGTTTTTTCACTGCTGAGTCATAATAAATGCTTGAGTTAATTTATACCTGACCCTAAGATCCTGTTCTTTTATTAGTCCGCTGGATTACATGTAAAACCTGTATATATTTTATGAACATACAGAAATTCATAATAATCCGGATGAGGGGTTGCTATATCCATGGCAATAATCTAAAGCAGTTACACTCATGCCTCCCCTCTCTCTTTAGACTTCAGTGTTTGCCAGTGATGAGCAAACTTCTGAAAGTCTGATGTGCTGTGGTGGCCTCCTCTTCTCTGGCTGTCTCTCAGGCAGGTTGAAAGCTGTTTCCCTGTTTACTTGAACAGCCCAAATTAATTTGTATGAATGGAGGACTTGGCTTCATAAATCCAGCAGAAGAGCTGGATGTCTTAAAAAGAAATATCTTAGCTCTGTCCTTCATGATCACAGGATTACAGAGGCACTGATAGGCTTCAGTCTAGGTTTTTATTCTTTACCCTCATAGTTTTCTGTTTTCTCTCTTTTTCTTTACATTTTTTTCTCCCTTTATTCTCTATATTTCAAACTTTCCTATATGGTGTCTGCTATTTTTTTCTTGTCTTGATGGACCAGGAGGTACTTCAATGGTCAGTTCTACCACAAAACAGAAGTGTAGATACTTTTAAGAGATAGTTTGCTTTTGTAAAGAAGCTTAAGTGCTGGAATTCTAGAAACATTGGTAATGGTTGTGTCCTGGTTTTGTCTGGGATATGGGTTGGCTCTTTTGCCCATTGGCTAGATAAATCAGCCTGACACAAATGTTTAATTGCTTGATGAGAATAGCTAGAAACTATTAACACTATACTAAACTTTTTTCCCTTGTGAAGTGGAAGAGAACATGGAACAGGGACCCAGATGTACTTTACCTTTCTACGTTTCTACTTTTGTCCTTGTAAATCAGACTTAATAATACTTACTTTTCTTTTGAGATACCTATATGAGATCCTTCAGTCCTAATGCGGAAAAGCAAACTTAAAAACAATAAACAATCTCTATTCCAGTTTGCTTTAAGATTACCTCCATGTTAATGAAATAGACATAGAAGCTACAATTTAACCTTACTAGTTACCTAACTCATGACTGGATGTAACTAGGAGGGAGTTCTTTTTTTTTCAGAGAAATACTTGATCGATTTTCACTGGGTGAAAGTTGGCACAATTGAGATTGGAAAGAATTTTTCACTGTGCAAGAAAAAAACTAGAGCCAGGATTTCACCTAATGACTTTAACTTCAATAGAGATATGCAAATTGAGACTTGTGTATTGAGAGTATTATGAATGAAGCACACAATAGAAACCTGATTATACTTTTTTACACTCCCAGATTTAATCTGTGATTTCATCTTGACAGTAGGGGAAAGCAAGCCTTTGATGCTTTGAGATTTAAATTATTTCCTTGGAGTCATCTAGGAGAGCTCTCTTACTGGAAGGAAAGTATACTAAAAGAACTGTTGATCAATTTCAGCCTATCAAATGCTCTGTTGCAGCAGTAATTACCTTTTGTATCTTCATAAAATTATGTTTTATTTTGGTACCAGTCCTCTGGCTCTTAGTGTGACTGCAGTGAGAAACTCTGAAAGTTACTTTGGTCCCTTCATAACTAATTCTGCTGCCACCACAGATCGTAACAGTCATGTAAGAGCCATCAGGACATTTTTCAGGATGTTTTGCAGATATCATATGTTTACCATCTGACTGTACAAGGTATTCTATGCCAGGACATAAGCTATAAAGGCACACAGCCAGAAAAAAGGATGGCTGGATACATGTGCCTGACCTGGCAGAATTATAAAGGAGAAGTTGTGCAGAGAAACTACAAAATTTACACTGTACCATACTGCTTCCCAGCTGCTGATCCTAGAAAGCCCCTGACATTTCCTTAGTATTTCACGATACTGAGCCTCACTTCAATGATTTTTGTCAGCATATAGTATGGGATGCTAGGGTAATGAAATAATCTGAAAATGGATTTGAATTAAGCTTTTATTATGAAACAATACATAAAATACTCATCAAGCTATTAAACAGTGTTGCATAAATGTTATGTCTTCATACAATATTTTATTTAACCTACAAAACTATAATAAGGATTCCTCCAAAGTCCGGAAAACTGGCCCCTTCTTCATGTTTATACTCTCCCAACTTTCTGTGAACCTCTCCCTTTAAGTTCCTTTTGCTTCAGACAGTCTAAAGCTGTACCCTTAAAAAGCACACTCTAGGACTAATCGGTGATTTATTCTTGCCCATACCTCAGAAGCTTGGGGAAACCCTTGATTTATTTATTCATGTGTGCAGTCATTCTGGTATAAAATATATGGTGGTCTATAACGTATCTAGTCATTTATAGTTGGAAGTTTTGCTATACCACTAGGATATGGCAAAGACGTTCAGCTCTACAATGAGCACATAGCCACTGCAGGAGAACCCTTGTCCCCCTTAATACAATCCTAGTATATATCCTTTTCAGTGCCCTTGAAGAGATCTGCAGAAAAAAAAAAGAAAATATAATTAAAAAACATGCTGACATTGGCCCTACTAATAACATATAAAAGACTTCAAATCATTTAAGCACTTTTCTAGTATTAATTCTTCACCACTGCCTGTGAGCAGCTATTGTGAAGAACTGCAGTAGCTAAGTGAGCCAGCTTTCAGCTCTGTCTCAGCTGGAAGATTTTTTGGAAACTGCCAACTTACCTCCTAGGGCTAAGGTTTGGGAACTTTATGTTTCTGTTTTTAGATAAGTTTCAGACCTTTGGTTTATTGTGGATTAACATAGCTCCTTAGAAGCCTAAGCATCCAGATTTTCAAAGGTATTTAGATATGTACAGGTACAAATAGCAAAATTTTAAGTAAACTTTCTGCCTTTTGAAGGAGATCAGGCCTGATGGACACCACCTCTGTATTCTACTGCTTAAATGCTTTTGAAAAATATGGAGCTAAATCTGTGACTTTTATGTTCAAAAGTTAACTGAGTGATATAGCATCACTATTATGGTGATGATTCAAATTTATCCCATTTGACAAATTTCATGCCTGTTTAAAGAATGTAAGCAGGAAGGATTATCCTGTTATAAAAATATACAGATGTAGATATCTCTTATTTTTTTGGCATCAAAACCAACTATTGGGTCATTGGAAGAATTCATGATTAATACTTATATTTTACAATCTTATACATTCCTTACCTCAATACATCACATTTTTTTAACGTAGTGATAAGTTGATACTGCATGCAAAACACACAAGGAAAAAAGGATGACCATATCACAAACCTAATGTGCTTGGAGTGCTATTGGGATGTGTCATTTTGTCATCGATTGGCTTGTAGCGCCTGGTTTCTGAGCTGTGCTTTGGATTGTATTTTCCCATTGAACTCTGTGATGCATGTGATAAACAGAGGCAGTAAAGCAAATGATGTTGTCTGTTACAGTGATGTTGAAAACCATAAACAGAACTAATAATCCATGCAAGCTCTGTGAAAATGTTCTGTGTTAATGTTTACCAGCATGTGTACTAAATTGTGAATTCCATTTAAAAAATCAGCAGCTAGCAAATTATGACAGCTGAGATACTGCAGAACAAGCTCAACTGCTAGCAGGTCAGACTGCATCTTAAATATCTCAAGGATGACAGCTAGGAGTTTAATCTTGCCACAGTCCTACTGAAAACTAAGTGAACAATGAGTTGGGAAAGGAGCACAAGCAGACAGGAAAGAAACAGGACCAATATAAAGCAACATTAATAAGAATGTTGTGCAGTCACCAACTTATTATATCCATATAGCAGAGAACTGCATAACCAAATGTTTTATTAACATGAACAGAACTACAGTGACTCAGTTGATGCCTAGGACACTTATGTTCCCTGCCACCGCTCTGTTGCCAGACACCTTTCAGCACATGGTACTTTCTCCAGCCATTGGGTTATTCTCTCCTCTTACAGTTTGTGGCTCTGCCTTTTATTATGGAGAAAGAAAGTGCACTGTAAAATAAATATATATACCAGTTGCAGGGTAGGCAAAACCATTAGACTGGATGCACTAAATCCCTGTTGCAGTGTGGGAGGCAATGTGGGTTCAACCAGTGTTCAAGGAATTGTTCTTCTGATCTCTGCTCCAAGCGCTGGAGGTAAAGCATATACTCCTATTTAAAGAAAAGAAAAAAATAATTTAATTATGTAATCACTCAAGTCTAATGTCAGGCCAATGAACCAGGAGAATTTTACAGCTTATATAAGAGCAATTACTTTACCCCTTAAAATTATCAAATATAGTGAAATGGTGTTGCTAGTCAGCTTGCCCCAACCTAGCAATATTTAATGAATGACATCATCGTCCAGATCAGTAAAGGTGTTGAGCAGGAATTTTACAACCGTATTCATAAATTAGGAATTCTGCACACACATTTCTTATTTGCATATCGACACAGAAGCCTCTGTTGGTTCTGAGGGTACAGAAGGGTTCTCACAGATAGGTCTGTTGTAGCCTCTTTTGAAAATTGATTCCTGCTGATTAAGAAGCATTAACCCCTTATAGGATCATGTGGCAGTACTCTGAAGGGTTCTAGTAAGTAACGTGCATCAGTGCTGATTGGTCTTTCTGTGATACATAAAATAATGTGAATTTCCCATACTAATTTATAGGGGTTTTGGTGTAAGCAACAAGTTATCAAACTAAAGTGGGCTGTACCAAAACTTGACCTCCATCAGGAACAAAATTTACTTTTAAAATGTTACAGTCCCAGTACATGTGGGCTCATAAGCTTTGTGAACACTAGATTCATTTTTTCCAAACACACCCCCATCGCTTTGCACAGGAGGCGTTGTAGGAATGGAAGCTGTACTTTGCACTGGCCAAGTGTTCCCACTGTCATCCAGTTCTCTGTTCTTTGTGCTGACCAGAGGGTTGTACACTGGGTGCCAGCAGGAAGCATTCGTATCCTGCCTTTTGCTGTGCTTTCTGTCCTCCATCCAGCACAGGGAGACTTGGCTCAAACCCCTCAGGGAGACTGCAGTATGAACTTGTGGCAAACAGCGCGGTGTGACTGAGAAGATGCCACAGGATAAAAAGCAGGGTCTTGGTCAAAGTAAGATTAATACACGCTGATAACATAAATGACATTTTTTAAATAGTCAAAGATGGCAGATCTTGCTGTCTGTAACTGAGCAGGCTTTTTGACTGAAACAGCGCTGTGGAAGTCAAATAGTGTCACAAAGAATTGCAAATTAAATTCCCCAGCTCAGCATGATCTGGCCTAGTACAAACAGCTTTTGCTTAAAATAGATGAACAGAGGTGGGTTCATCCCAGAATTCATTTCATTCTACTACAAAGAATCCATACAAAATCAGTTTTTCTCCTTGAGCCAGTGGTAGAACTGCACACAGAGATACAGCAGCCATGCACCTTCATTCACAAGGGAAAATTTCCATGTTCCACATTGGGGGGGGGATAGGTTTTTTATCAGAAGATACTTCCTTTTCTACTAAACCCCCTGACATTTAACAAGAAAAACAAATACTCTTATGTTTGGGTTTCCTTACAGAAAGCCAGCATTGCTATATAGAAAGAAAAAGAAATAAATAGAAGGTTGGAATTTCTCAATAAGTATTTGCTGCTAACTGTGGTAGGATGGAAAGTGGCAAGGACAGAGCAGCAGAGGTCAGTAATCAAACACTCTTTAGCCCGAGCACCCTCTCCTCCCGACCTGGAATGACAGAATATCCCGAGTTGGAAGGGACCCATAAGGATCATCAAGTCCAACTCCCTGGTCCTCACAGGACTACCTGAAACTAAACCATATGACTAAGAGCGTCATGTGTATGCATGTAACTTCCTGTAACACAGGATTAACTCAACCTAACTTCTCTACTGTTTTATTTATTTAGTATTTAATACATGTTGTATTTACTACATACATATAATCGCATATATAAAGCATAGCATAGATGGGAGCTGTATTCCTGCTAATTTTCAAAAACTACAAGGCTCATTTAACAACAGCTTAGAAATCAACCTAATGCTGAATGTTGTGGGCAGCAGCGAAGGCCGTACCGTCTTGGTTTTGCCTCTGTTGTATAGTCTTCATTGTACAAGATTGTTAACCAGCATGGTGCAATATCCCCGTGACAGCTTTGATTTGTGGTGGTCGTCACACTTGACAAAGAAGTGTGTACATCAGGGGTGGCATACATCCAGACGGATTCTTTTTGGCTGGTATACAATAACCATTGGGAAGGGAAAACCACAAGCTGTCTCCGCAAGCCTGGCACACACTGAGCTCAGTCCTGCAAGGTGCATAGCACTCTTCATGTCCTACGGAGTTCAGAAGTGCTCAGCACCTTGCTAAACTGAGCCCCTGGTATTCGAAATGCATACACAATCGATTGTGTGCTTTCTAGCTTCTGTGGGTTTTGCCTCTTCAGAACCATGTCATTTTAGCACAGTTTATTTACTTTGGGAAGAAATAGGCAGTAATTTTAAAATACCTTAAGTACCTCTTGAGAAATGCAGAATTATATGTTACATCTTGTCAAAGCAAGTAACACAGAAGGCTCTTTAATTCTTTTTCTTTTGCTTTGATATGGTTTAGAAGTAAATAAATGTAAGCATGACATGCAAAAATGATGCTGGTGCATTAAGCTAGCAACTAAAGACTTCTGCAGTATCGTAACAAACGATCCCATCTGTAGCATTCATAAAAAAGGGAATGAAAGTGAGTGATTTTAAAAGCTAGTTCAGAACTACCTCAATCTCCACACTGACCACTGACACCTACATCTACTTTCTGCCTTGAGTGCAGAATGTACTGTAAGCAGAAGACATTTCCTGTTATTTAGTTTTTTGGGAACAACCTGATGAAATCCACATTTCTATAAATGAAAAGCTACTTTCTTCTCAATAATTTAATCGGCATTTTTGAACCGTGATAAATAATTTCCACATTCTGCAAGCGTACATTTCCTGAGCAATATTTAGCACTTACAGAATGCTACTTAACAGTAATTGAAAGAATGTAAAGGGGGATTTTAATATTTCACAGAAGAATTCAGCTGCTTTAAACGGTGATAGTTATAACATACTGCTTGGAATTAAATCTACAGAAATTTAATACTAAGCACAAATGTTTTGGGGGTTTTGGTATTGGGTGTTTTTTAGTTAATGTAATTTAAAAAGAAATATCACAAATCACCCTCATTGGCTCATCAGGGAAACCAGCTTTTCTCGGTCTGTCTTCACGACGAGTTCTCAGAACCTGTTTGGCATCTTTTTCAGTCAAAATTGGTGAAGTGTCTAAAGACGAAAAAGCAGAAATTAGTTCTGAAATTATGTAAAAGTTAATATTTTATCTGTCAGTTGTAAAATGAAATGTCTCCAAACCTGATTTTTGTCTATATACAAAGTGTTCTTTCACTACAGCCCCTTCCCAGGGGATATTGCATTCCAGGAGATATGAGTGGAATTTTAAACCATTTTTATACTTGTGCTTTCTATAGTTCTACCAGTATGAAGCAAACCCTACATATTCATATTACTCTCTAAAATGAGAAAATATAACAGCACCATCTAACCACTGACTGCAGTAACTCTTCCAATTTCTTGTTCTTTTCTTTTTACTTTTTAGGATTATTTTTCAAAGTAATGAGTTAGACTTCTGTTGCAAAGGAGAGATTGCATTGAACATTCAGCTGGCAGGATCTTGATAAAATAATACTAAAGTAATAAGCTAGTAAAATTAAACTTTTTGGTTTTACAGCCAGTGACTACAGTGTGGTAATGCAGAGTAAAATATCAGATACAAGAGCATGGTTGTTAAAAATCAAATCAAATATAACAACAGTTAAGTATTAAAAACGAAATATGAAGATACTAAAATACAAGGTTGATGAACTAATACTGTTATGATATGCACTGAAGCTCTACATACGTATACACTGGTTTGTTTTATATAAAGTCCTACCTGTAAAAGTGATCATCAGGACCAAAAAGGAGACAAACACAAGTAACTTCTTCATTTTGATTCTGCTTTCTCTCAGTCTGTTCCAAAATGAGTAACGCTGACTGAGGCATTAGCCTATTTGAAGTAGCTACGTCAGTCACAAATGTTTGTTTACGCTTTAACTAATTTGAGTTGATAGTTTGATTTTGAAGACATCTGGCCTGAAGTTTTGAATTAGGCTATTATCTGCTCACACATTCTCAGCATAACTCTGTTCCTGAGGGAAAGAAAATAGAAGACCTTTTTTCCACTTCAGGCTTCAGAGTTACACTAGACATTTTAAATTAATGAAAATAAGACACATCACCTTACATTTAGCATAGTAGGCAATGGTTTCAGGTGCCTAAGGTTTGTTTTTTAAAAGAAACAATTGCTCGTACTGATTGTTAATCTCAAAGGCAGCATCAAAGGGGCCTCTTTTTCAAAAATTGTCTCTACTGTAGCAGCACATAAATACATATTAATGTGGTTTAACTTTAACAAAGCCAAATTATCACTGCTGGAAAACAAGTCAGAGATTTTTGTCAAATTAATAGAATTGAAAACTCCCATAATTCTTCTCTTTTCAGGACAAGTTGGTAGGAAACTGTGTTATAAATGCCCTTACTAGTAAACATAGTGTGAAGTAAGACTGTAGGTTAACAAATGTTGTTGCAAACAGTTGGTTTCTGCTTTGAGAAATGTGACTGACCAGCACAATGCTGGACATATGGCACCAGCACCACCAATTTGTAGGAAAAGAAGTAAGTGTCCCTTTGAATATAAAGTATGAAACAAGGAGTCAGAATTCATGAGCAGCGCTCGCATGAGGGACAGGAGTAATTAGCATTTCCTCTGAGAGGGAAAGGCACAGCACATTCCTGTACCCCCTGCACCACAGGGATTCACCTGGGGCTTGCCAGCCTGGCTTGAGCAGGTCTCTTCATTTGTGCCTCTTTACTTCCTAAAGAAGTGGTGTTCATTCTGTCTGTGCCGCTATGTCTGCACAAGCCAGCCAGTTTCACTCAAGTCTAGCAGAGAGCTCTGGGTCTCAAAAACGTTAGGATGCAGGAAGGTTCGAGAGCAAACAGCAGGTCAGAGAGAGACCCTGTGAACGCCCCTCGGACACACACCTTGGGGTGTCCTTCACTTTGGTAGGCACCAGCGCGACACGTCTCCCTCGCTAGCTGGGCTGGATCAGCACAGCTGCTCACACAGTTATTTATAAATTGATAAAACCTGACAGAATCACATGCTGAAATGGAGAGTGCTGTAGGTGTGAGGGCTTGGCCAGAGAGAGCGCGTGATGGAACAAAGCAGTTCAGGGGTTGGGCAGTTCTGGGGTTCTGACCTCCCGTGACAGGACTTTTCTTGGAGACCCGAGTGCTGGCAACCTATGGAGTATTTGCACTTTTCAGCGTGTGTTTTTAAGATACTAGCAGTCTAAAATCCGAGAAATCTTGTGTTTATTGCATGGATTTTTGTAATTGTTCGTGTTCAACTGTTTTGAAAGTACCAAACTCCGTAGTTTCTAATAGCAGCAATATTTATTTTTAGAACCGCTATAAGCGGCACAGTGTAACACGTCCGGGCGGGATGAAACGATGGGGGCAGAGGCACCCGCGGCTGGGCAGTAACGGAACAAGAGGCCGGTAGCCGAGCCCCCCGCCCTCTCCAGGCCCTTCGCCTTGGGTTTGGCGGCCGCGGCCCGGCGCGGCGGGCGATGAGCCGTGACAAAGCGGTGACGAGCCCCCCGCCCCTTTCCGGGCGGCGCCCGTCGCCTGGCAACCGCCGCTTCCGCTTCCGCCGTTTCCGCT